CGCGGGCCGCGCCCCCGCCGCCGGCAGCGCCCAGGGACGTGCCGCAACAGCGTTTTAGCTGGTGACGCCACGGTGGCACCTTGGTTTCGGGCTCCTCGTGGCAAAGCATGTGCCACCCAGGGGAGGCAGCCTGGCCCCCCCTGACCCCCGCTGCGGCTCACCGAGGTGTGGGGCTGGATTGGCGAGGGGCAAAACTGTGCTGAGTCAGCACAGCCCGCCGCCGGCAGCGCCCAGGGACGTGCCGCAACAGCGTTTTAGCTGGTGACGCCACGGTGGCACCTTGGTTTCGGGCTCCTCGTGGCAAAGCATGTGCCACCCAGGGGAGGCAGCCTGGCCCCCCCTGACCCCCGCTGCGGCTCACCGAGGTGTGGGGCTGGATTGGCGAGGGGCAAAACTGTGCTGAGTCAGCACAGGAGCGGAGCAGTGGTCGGTGGCGGGAGGCAGCAGGCAGTGCCGAGCTGTTTTTAGCAGGCGCGAAGAGCGGCCACCGCGGCGGCGTTTTTAGAAACCGGCGAGTTTTGCTAATGATGCCTGCGAGAGATGAGGGGACGACACTGCCTGCACCCCGGCTCCCCCGGCCCCTCCTGTCCGCACTTGGTGCAGGCTGGTGCTGCCACCCATACCTGGGGGCATCTGCACTGCCTGGGGCGCCCCTGCACCCGTCTGGGGCTCTGCTGGCCCCTGAGGAGCTTTGGTGGCCCTGGGGATGTCTGCTGGTCCCCAGGGAGCTCTACTGGCTGCTGAGGAGTTTTGGTGATCCCTGGGGAGCTCTGCTGGCCTGTGGGGAGCTTTGGTGGCCCTTGGGGAACTCTGCTAGCCCCTAAACAGCTTTGCTGGCCTGTAGGGAGCTTTTATTTAGCTGCTTTATCCTTCCAGCCTGTAAGGAACAAATTTTTCTCCTTTTTCTGCCTGAGACAGCATCTGCCCTCAGCTGGGAGGCTCATCCTGTCTCGGCACCCACTACAAATCAGTGCCAGCCATGCCCTGGTCCTTGTCCCAGTCCTCTCCCCAGGGCTGGTTCTCTCCTGGCAAGGAGCCCCCACCCCAATTTGCACGTGAAAACCCTCTCCCTGACCAGTCTCCTGTGACCCACTCCCTATGGCTGCAGAGTCTCCTGGGGGCAGGCACCACCCTGGGGACCCCCAAAAGTCTCCCAGTGGGAAGAGGGAACCAAATCCCGATGTCATGTGTGATGGCAGCGCTGTGATGCAGGTGGTCTCTATAGCAACTGAGCCCCCCCAGACAAGGCTCCGGGGACCAGAGCCAGTCCTGGATGCGATGGAGAGCTACAAGGCTTTGTGTGGCGCCGTCATTGACACGGACACAGGTCACACCCGGAGCGGGCTGGCCGGGGATGAGCAGCCACGGTCAGTGGTGCCCAGTCAGGCAGGAGGCAGCCCCATCCTTACCCACGGCTTGGTCACCAACTGGGACGGACTGGAGGAGCTGTGGCACCGCATCCTCTACCAGGAGCTGCGCGTCTGCTCCGAGGAGGTGGCGGTGCTGGCCACGGACGCCCCCCTCTCCCCCTTGGCCAACCGGGAGAAGACAGCAGAGCTGCTTTTCAAGAGCTTCAGCGTGCGGGCCATGCTGGTGCTGCCCCGCTCCCTCCTCAACACCTACTCCTATGGCCGCACCACCGGTGTGGTGGTGGGCTCCGGCGCCGGCACCTCCTACGTGGCAGGGGTGCAGGAGGGCTACGTGCTGCCCCACACCACCTTCCGCCTGGATGCGGCCGGGGACGCCATCACCCT